TTTTTTTTTTTTATGTCCAGAGGACCAGATTTAACTTTTTTAGATAAGGAACAAACACACCTACACCCCCCTGAACATAAGAGGATCTGCAGTGAAGGTGGTCTCCAGCTACAAGTACTTGAGTGTACACATGAATGACAACCTCAGCTGGAGCAACAACACCACCAGCCTGATCAAGAAAGCTCATCAGAGACTCTACTTCCTCAGGCGGCTGAGACGAGCTGGTCTGGAAGCTCAGTCCTCACCTCCTTCTACAGGTGTGCAGTGGAGAGCATCCTGTGCTCCAGCATCAACGTGTGGCATGGAGGCTGCACAGCTGCAGAAAGAAAAGCTTTGCAGAGAGTGGTGAAGGCTGCACAGAAGATGTTGGAGTCAGTCTCCCCACCATCACAGACATCTACACCTCCAGATGCAGGAAGAGGGCCACCTGCATCATGAAGGACCCCACTCACCCAGCACACACTTTTTGCCCCACTCCCCTCAGGAAGGAGGTTAAGGAGCATTAAGTGTAGAACCACTAGACTGAGGAACAGCTTCTACCCTGAGGCTGTTAGACTCATGAATCTCTAACTAGAATAATCACTGTGAAAAATCACATCATGTTGCTGCTGATCTGTTTCATGTTGCTGCTGATCTGTTTCATGTTGCTGCTGATCTGTTTCAATGTTTTTGCTGATCTGTTTCAATGTTGCTGCTGATTTATTTCATGCTGATGTGTTCATCTGCTCACACAGACTCATGCTCATGTTCGTGCTGCTGTTCGATGTAATGTTTTTATGCTATTAGTGCTTAGTGTATTTTTTGCTGATGTTTTTCTTCGTTCATATCTTAGATGTTATTGTTTTTCTTTTACATTTTATTGTTGAATGTAACTGAGACCCTGTGTACATAAATTTGTTCCACCACATGTACCACATGTGTTGGAACGACAAAGAATCTCTGACTCTGACTCTCTTTTCTGCACGTCCATCATTTTTCTGCTGCTCTCTGCAATGCATTTTCACAGGAAATTCAATTTTTCTAGTTAAATACATATTTTTTCCTGTGTCATAAAGCCACAACTAATTCTGTCTTTTTCAAGGAATAACTTTTCAATTTGAATAGAAATTAAAGATCTACATTCAACAATTACAATTATAATTGGAATTATATCCAAATGTGTTGAATCAAAATTAACATCCATCCATCCATCCATTATCTTTACCCGCTTCTTCCATTTTGTGTCACGGGGGTCGCCGGTGCCCATGTCCAGCAATCACTGTGCGAGGGGCGGGGGACACCCTGGACGGGTCGCAAGTCCATCACAGGGACATATGGAGACAAACAAGACAAACAACCATTCACTCTCTCACTCGCACCTAGGGACAATTTAGAGTTACCAATCAGTCTAACATGCATGTTTTTGGTCTGTGGGAGGAAACCGGAGCACCCGGAGAAAACCCACGCATGCACGGAGAGAACATGTAAACTCCACCCGGAAAGGCCCCTGGACCGGGGTTTGAACCAGGGACCTTCTTGCTGTGAGGCAACAGTGCTAACCACTACGCCATCGTGCCCTTATCTTTCGGTATCTTTTGGATGACTTCCGGTAAGATGGCGCCCGTGTACATGGCTTGCAATCCACCTCTGCTGAAGGTGTTCGGATTATTTTTATTTTGTTCGTTTTTTATCTGTGGCATAAATTCACTCCTGATGTGTGACAGACAACAGCTTCTGGATCTTCGTTTTTCTGTCACCGATGCCGCTTATTTGGACCATTATCAGCGTACCTCTGGACCCCTCCTCCCCCCCTGCTGGTGGACATGCCAGCTTACCTCTGCTGCGCTCCTCACCTCCCTGCCCGGAGACATCGCTTCAGACGCCGGGGAAAACGTGCTGGGTGGCTGGTGAAGCTTAAAGCTCTGCGCGCTGCATCTTCCTCTTCAGCTGGTGGTCATGGTTTCCATCGCCAGCTTCACACGTGCCCGGACCAGGTAAACAACGGGAGTTGTCGGCCGGTGCACCGCTCGGATCAACCCGGAGGGGCTGTTATTTAAAATCTGCGGCCACTGGCGCGAGCTCCCTCCACCACTGCTGGGTCTACCTTGGACAGTATCCAGATGTGTTTGGTCAATGCAAGATCTGTTACCAACAAAACTTTTATCCTTATGGACTACTTTCAAGAGCACGATTTAGACTTTCTGTGCATCACAGAGACGTGGATGTCTCAGGATGAGTCCAGCGCCTTGATGGAATCATTGCCACCAAACTGTCTGTGTTTTAACGCCCCGCGGCCATCAGGCCGGCGTGGTGGTGGATTATTAACAATATTCAAATCAACTTTTGACTGTAAACAACTGCCCATCCCAGTTTCCCGCGCCAGCTTTGAGCTGAGCGTCTTGGAACTCTGACATTCACCTTAGACGTTATTTGCACTCGTCTACCGCCCACCTCGATCTAAGGATTTCATAAAATGAGTTTTCTGACTTCTTGGCTGAAATCACACCAAAATATGATCATGTTTTCATTATTGGTGACTTTAATTTGCACGTGCGCTGTCCTGAGAAGCCCTTGGTTAAGGACTTTTTAGATTTATTGGACTCATTTAATTTAACTCAGCATGTAAACGGTCCCACCCAAGAGCGTGGACATACACTGGACCTTGTTTTAACTCTTGATGTGACTGTTAGTAATCTTGTTATTGGTGATAATGTTTGTTCAGACCACATGCCAGTCCGGTTTGAGTTCACCCTCCCCCATCTAACTCCTAAGTCGTGTATTCCGGCACGTAGTACCCGGGCTATAAACCCTCTCACTGCCGCACGTTTCACAGATGTTTAACTCTGAAATGATAATTCAGCCCCCGGTGTTTCTCACCACCACTGAGGAGCTGACATCCCAGTTCAACTCTGTCTGCTTAAAGACTATGGATCATGTTGCACCTGTTAAAACCAAAAAATCAAAACTCAGAGCAGAACCTTGGCTGAGTGACATCACCAAGGCCGTTGGGCAGCAATGTAGGAGGGCGGAGCGAAAGTGGAGGAAAGACAGGCTGCAGGTCTCTTTCCAGATACTTAAAGAGAGTTGGCGCCGTTATCAGAAAGCAGTGAAAGCTGCTAAATCCAAATTCTTCTTTGATATAATTACTTCAAACTCTCACAACCCACGTGTCCTCTTCTCCACCCTAAACTCTGTTCTCCACCTCACTGAACCATCACCTCTGGAAGCCTCGACTGAGCTGTGCGACAACTTCTTACATTTCTTTTTGGAAAAAATTGCGACCACCCGGGCTCTCATTTCCCCTCCAACTCATGGCCCATCCATCCCACCTCAATCTGTAGCTCCTTTTTACCATTTTGAACCCATCACTCTATCTTCTCTAGAGCAGGTCATGTGCAGCTTGAAACCTTCTGGCTCCCCCTTTGATGTGGTCCCCCTTCGACTACTAAAGGAGGTGTTTCCAACTCTAGGTCCGTCCATTCTTGCCATAGTAAACAGTAGTTTATCCACTGGCGTGGTGCCAAAATCCTTTAAACATGCTGCTGTCCAGCCTCTCCTGAAAAACCAAACCTTGACCCCTCAGTCGT